GAGAGGACTCTTTAAAGTAGAGACACTACATACTGATATACACCTGAACATCAGCAGGAGAGGACTCTTTAAAGTAGAGACGCTACATACTGATATACACCTGAACATCAGCAGGAGAGGACTCTTTAAAGTAGAGACACTACATACTGATATACACCTGAACATCAGCAGGAGAGGACTCTTTAAAGTAGAGACACTACATACTGATATACACCTGAACATCAGCAGGAGAGGACTCTTTAAAGTAGAGACACTACATACTGATATACACCTGAACATCAGCAGGAGAGGACTCTTTAAAGTAGAGACACTACATACTGATATACACCTGAACATCAGCAGGAGAGGACTCTTTAAAGTAGAGACACTACATCACTGATATACACCTGAACATCAGCAGGAGAGGACTCTTTAAAGTAGAGGACACTACATACTGATATACACCTGAACATCAGCAGGAGAGGACTCTTTAAAGTAGAGACACTACATACTGATATACACCTGAACATCAGCAGGAGAGGACTCTTTAAAGTAGAGACACTACATACTGATATACACCTGAACATCAGCAGGAGAGGACTCTTTAAAGTAGAGACACTACATACTGATATACACCTGAACATCAGCAGGAGAGGACTCTTTAAAGTAGAGACACTACATACTGATATACACCTGAACATCAGCAGGAGAGGACTCTTTAAAGTAGAGACACTACATACTGATATACACCTGAACATCAGCAGTAGAGGACTCTTTAAAGTAGAGACACTACATACTGATATACACCTGAACATCAGCAGGAGAGGACTCTTTAAAGTAGAGACACTACATACTGATATACACCTGAACATCAGCAGGAGAGGACTCTTTAAAGTAGAGACACTACATACTGATATACACCTGAACATCAGCAGGAGAGGACTCTTTAAAGTAGAGACAGCTACATACTGATATACACCTGAACATCAGCAGGAGAGGACTCTTTAAAGTAGAGACACTACATACTGATATACACCTGAACATCAGCAGGAGAGGACTCTTTAAAGTAGAGACACTACATACTGATATACACCTGAACATCAGCAGGAGAGGACTCTTTAAAGTAGAGACACTACATACTGATATACACCTGAACATCAGCAGGAGAGGACTCTTTAAAGTAGAGACACTACATACTGATATACACCTGAACATCAGCAGGAGAGGACTCTTTAAAGTAGAGACACTACATCACTGATATACACCTGAACATCAGCAGGAGAGGACTCTTTAAAGTAGAGACACTACATACTGATATACACCTGAACATCAGCAGGAGAGGACTCTTTAAAGTAGAGACACTACATACTGATATACACCTGAACATCAGCAGGAGAGGACTCTTTAAAGTAGAGACACTACATACTGATATACACCTGAACATCAGCAGGAGAGGACTCTTTAAAGTAGAGACACTACATACTGAAATACACCTAAACATGAGCAGGAGAGGACTCTTTAAAGTAGAGACACTACATACTGATATACACCTGAACATCAGCAGGAGAGGACTCTTTAAAGTAGAGACACTACATACTGATATACACCTGAACATCAGCAGGAGAGGACTCTTTAAAGTAGAGACACTACATACTGATATACACCTGAACATCAGCAGGAGAGGACTCTTTAAAGTAGAGACACTACATACTGATATACACCTGAACATCAGCAGGAGAGGACTCTTTAAAGTAGAGACACTACATACTGATATACACCTGAACATCAGCAGGAGAGGACTCTTTAAAGAAGAGACACTACACACTGATATACACCTGAACATCAGCAGGAGAGGACTCTTTAAAGTAGAGACACTACATACTGATATACACCTGAACATCAGCAGGAGAGGACTCTTTAAAGTAGAGACACTACATACTGATATACACCTGAACATCAGCAGGAGAGGACTCTTAAAGTAGAGACTCTACATACTGATATACACCTGAACATCAGCAGGAGAGGACTCTTTAAGTAGAGACACTACATACTGATATACACCTGAACATCAGCAGGAGAGGACTCTTTAAAGTAGAGACACTACATACTGATATAGTCCTGAACATCAGCAGGAGAGGACTCTTTAAAGTAGAGACACTACATACTGATATACACCTGAACATCAGCAGGAGAGGACTCTTTAAAGTAGAGACACTACATACTGATATACACCTGAACATCAGCAGGAGAGGACTCTTTAAAGTAGAGAAACTACATACTGATATACACCTGAACATCAGCAGGAGAGGACTCTTTAAACACACCCAATCTTCTGTTGCAGGTCCTGTGTGTAATGAAGAAAATCGACAAGAGTCAGATCTGGCAGACGGAGCCTCAGTCTGTGGTGAGAGAAATCTCTATGAACCTATTCAAATAAAACTCAAATATATGCAACCTTAACATCGTCTCCTCCTTTCCCTTCAACAGGAAGTGCCAGCAATCCCGTTTGTCACCACTTTCTGGGAGAGAAACCTGCCTTCAGTCGGCGGTCTCTTGAAATGTATGGGAGTTTCCGCCTTCCTTTCTGTGGCCACTGTCTCCGGCCTGGTGATCTACAAAAAGGGTCTCATTCCTCGGAGTTAAACCACAACAGACTCTTTACTGCACTACTTTATGTCCCAATCTGCAGAGTAGTGAACTGTATCGAGTAAAAAATCACTGACGCACCGTCACTCTGTGTGAGAAAGTGAGACAGAGGAATTGTTTGAATCCACGTCTGAGGTCCAGATGTGAAACCAATGAAGGAAAGAATCATAAAAAGTATACAGAATATATGTAAATCACTATTAACAGTACACACATTGCCAATGACATTCAGTCTTACATGTGAGTTTATCGACTCATTATGCTTTCTATGTGTTTGTGTGAGGTGTGTGTGAGAGGTGTGTGTGTGTCTTAATTACCTCTGCTGATTTTAGGTGCTAATTTATTCTGGCCGAGCAGCTGTTACTCCTGATGAGATGCCCGCTGCAAAATCACAGAGCAGGTTTTAAGGATAAGGCTGTTGGGATGCTAGCTTGTTGTCAATAAATCCCATGAAAACACTTTGAGTTAATTACGTTACTTAAGGTACGTAAATTAAAATACCTGAACACCTGAAAATTAGCATAATTGGGCCCTTTAAGGCCTGCAAGATCCTACACTCATTTTAAATGAATCTCTTAAGATATGACTCACAAAATCACCAAATTCACGTCTGAAAATAGTCCCCAACAAATGCAATGTTTACTGTGTTAACCAACAAGCAAGGGTCTAACAAGGCTTCAAAAAGTCAGAAATTAATGAGACAGTCATTAATTCTCAGTATGCATGGGATTTGTTGTCAATTTAAAAAAAAAGCAGAATAGAAAATGCATAATAAGCCTTATCCTTTTATTAAAATGTGTATTTAGTGGTGATGTCGGGCTACTAAGCTGCTCTGTTATCTTTTAGTAAATGTAATGAAAGCATTCGAATGTATTTTCTTCAGACTAATAACACAAACTCTTTGTCGCTGCGTTTTGATTTATAGATATATATGTATTTCTATACAAAAGTAGTGCGGTAGCTAACCAAAAACACTATTAATACACATTTCATGCTTTTAAATCCCACAAAATCTAGCTTATGATTAACATTGTGATGCATTAAAGAGTGCAGAAAATTGCCTCTTTTTGAGATAAACCTCAGAAAACAGATGAATAAATGACGCATTATTCCCACAAACAACACACGGACATATAGAGAAGTACATCCTAATTCACAGTCGAGAAACACAGCTGCCTACTCGCAGGAAATATTCATTTTTGGCCACTTTGAGAGCACTTCAATCCATGATGAGCTTTTAGAAATCATCTGTCAGAGTAGGAGGCTTTTTCTTATCCCGTAACATAATGGGAATCTGATTTTGAAGCGAGATGATACATGATTTTTCTGGTAAAGGGTGTTGAATCATGCTGTTTTTGTCCCGAAGACGGGTGTGTGTTTGTGAGTATAGTTATCTGTCGTGCCTTAATGGTAGTGTTTTGTGTCATTTCTCTCTCTCAAGTGCCTGTGTGACTGTGACACCCCTCTGAATAAGTCAAAGAACCAGGAAATGACTCAGCATTTTAGCACTTCCTGCTTCCCTGGTCTGAAAGTCAATGGTTTTCTGAATGTGTTTTTGGTTATTAGCCTGAAACAGGTCTGGGGTTAACATAAGCTGAAGAGATTTTTATTCTACGACTTCATTAAATAACCCACTGGTGAATTTAAGAACAGCCGGACATTAGCCGCCGTTAGCTTAGCATTGTGACTCATGTCATAGTTCCTTTAAAGCGGTAAGTAGGCTTTTTACTTAAGAAATCATACATCTGTGTTATTATGTGGAGATTATCCCACTGATAAGAGTTCATTCTCTGCAATAATCCAAAAATATATTTAAAAAATCATTATCTTTTTCTCGAAGGAACCAGACAGATGCTAACTTTTCAAAACTATGGAAATCCTCCCCACGATCAAACTGCTTATCTCCAATAAAGCCGTGTGTGTGTGTGTGTGTGTGTGTGTGTGTGTGTGTGTGTGTGTGTGTGTGTGTGTGTGTGTGTGTGTGTGTGTGTGTGTGTGTGTGTGTGTGTGTGTGTGTGTGTGTGTGTGTGTGTTGTGATCGCAGTGTTTTACTATCTGTCTCCCTTGTTGTGTGATGTCTCTATCTGCTGAATGACCTTCCCTTTCTATCAGCTCATGCACTGGTTTGAGTCACGTTTAGACCACAGCTCACATTTTAAGCATTTTCTGGAAGGTGTTTTTCTGACTTCAGTGAACGAACAAAGCCAGCACACACACTCCATCCTGCAGAAACACACATTATCCAACCCTCCATCTGTGTTTCCCTGAGACTCTTCCTGTGACAGTTCTTCGATGTCTTTAATTCCTCAAACAAAGCTGGTGATACTTAAACAGAAAAAAATGTGAAATAAATATTTTACTCGTCTTGAAATCGACCTTGTGTGTCTTTTTGTGTATTTTTCTCAAGCGTGAGTTCATACCCAAACACCGGGCCAGCAGAGGAAGAATATGTGTGTATTTTCAGTTTATTGTGTGTTTTGTTTCTGAGTATTTTTGATTGTTTTTTGTTTTTTCGTGCATTTCTATATATATTGTGTGTGTGTGTGTGTGTGTGTGTGTGTGTGTGTGTGTGTGTGTGTGTGTGTGTGTGTGTGTGTGTGTGTGTGTGTGTGTGTGTGTGTGTGTGTGTGTGTGTGTGTGTGTGTGTGTGTGTGTGTGTGTGTGTGTGTGTGTGTGTGTGTGTGTGTGTGTGTGTGTGTGTGTGTGTGTGTGTGTGTCCTCAAGTCCCTACTCAATTCCCTTCTGCTTTGTGCGTTGTTTTTGTTTTTGGTAATGATGTCAGAGAAGAACGATTGTCGTGCGTTTTTCAATTCCAAATTATAAAGGCCAAGTCTCTCTTTATAGATTTCAAAGTGAACCTGGAGATTTGTTTTTCGCCACCTGCGTTCAGCTTTTCGACATTCTCTTTTTTCTGTTCTCACGCTCATGGCCTTTCTCCATGGAGATATTTTCTTGCCAGACACTTCCTTTACCTTAGTTGGAGCAATGGCATCTATAACATTTTTAATTTTTGAATTAAAATGATCTACTAGCTCATTTACTGAGATGTTAGCAGGGGCAAGTGTGGAAGAAACATCCTGAGTAAACATTTCCCTAGTGTTTTCAGTTAAATATCGCTTTGTGGTTACCTCTTTTTGAACATTCTTGTGAACAGAAATAGAGCTCTCAAAGAAAACACAGGAATGGTCAGAGAGTGCAACATCAGTCACCACAACCTTAGAGATATTCAGACCCTTTGAGATAATTAAGTCCAGAGTGTGCCCCTTATTGTGCGTGGGCTCCGTCACATGCTGAGTCAGTCCATAGCTATCAAGAACACAAAACAGTTCTTTAGCCCCTCTGTCCTGGGGGTTGTCAACATGGATGTTAAAATCACCAACAATGACTAGACGGTCAAAGTCAATACACACTATAGACAGCAGTTCAGTAAAGTCATCAACAAAGCTTGCACAGTATTTGGGTGGTCTATAGATATTTAGGAACAGAGCTCGAGAGGAGCATTTCAGCTGAAGGGCCACATATTCAAAAGAATCAAAGTTCCCATAAGATGTCTTCCTGCATTGAAGGGAATCATTGAACAGAATAGCAACTCCACCCCCTTTCTTATGCATTCTTTCCTGACTCATAAAACTAAAGTTGGGAGGGGTTGATTCGATAAGAACAGCTGCACTGTTATTTTGTTCAATCCAAGTTTCTGTTAAAAACATAAATCGAGATTGTGCTCAGTGATAAAATCATTGATTAAAAATGTTTTTCCTGCCAAAGACCTGACATTTAATAAAGCTAGTTTAAGTTTGTTGAAACACACTATCAGTCATGTTTTTTGTAACAAGCTGTGGCTGACATGGAATCACTGCTAAATGTGATAAACTCACACAAACGTTTGAGCGCTTCCTGTTTCTATGATTCACCGCTCTTAATCTATTACCTATCAACACAGATATCGGCAAAGCTATATGCAGGCAGGGCCCCGGCATGTCCTGGAAAGAGTTGAGAGTGCCATACGCCCTTGAGCCTGGACCCAGCAGATATGAGTTTGCAGCGTTTTGTACACACACATCCCTATCAGGCTTTGAAGGGGAGGGAGGACCCACCACCCTGCTCCTCTCATCATAGGAGGGCAGGGTGAGGGCTACACTGTAGAAAGGGGGGTTTGGAAATCTGCTTCCATGTTCCTTGTATTGTTTTGGTTTGGATGATTGTGGTAGGCATGGTGATGATGCCGGGGGAGATGGTGTGCGTCTCTGCTTCGGTGATTTTGGTGGACGTCGTTGAGGGGCAGGGGGTAAAGGACATGTTGCCAACCCTGCGTTTCGCCTTCATGCGGTCATCGAACTCCAGGGGGGAGGGCGAGGGTGAAAGGGTGAGCGGAGAGTAGAGAGAGCTGGGGGATGAATGAAGAGTATCCTCAAAGGCGTTGACAGGGGGGGTGACGGGCAGTCGAGACTCCTCCATGTGTCTCATAGGTCTCCCATAATCAGAACATTCCTCAGGCGGGTGCAGTGATACTTCTTCAGGGTTGTCTGCGCGATGTGTTGTGTCTTTCTCCTGTTTTGATTCCTCTTGTTGCTTGTCCTTGGCAGAGGGAACAGATTGATGACGCAGGCAGTTGAATATGTTAGAGATAAACAATTTCCCTCCTGACTTGTTCAGGCAAACTCCATTTGCCTTGAAAAGATGTCTGCGATCCCAGAAAAAGTTAAAATTGTCAATAAAATGGTCAGAATGGTCAGTACAGGCCGTTGAAAGCCAGGTGTTCAGTGCAAACAATCTGCTGAATCTCTCCAGTTTCCAACAGACATTTAAAGTCTTTTTTCAGCACTTCTGACTCTTGTTTCACAACATCATTTGTTCCAATATGTAGTACCACATTCTTCACAGTCTGATGTTCAGCCCCAATATGCAGGATCTTCTCAGCCAAGTCAGAGACCACATCCTTGGGAAAACAGAGTACTTTGGTGTTGTTCTTACTACACAGACTTTTTACATCTCTTACAGCAGAGTCACCCACAATCAGAGTTTCAGGCCCAGTCGTTAGCTTTCCCTCTAGCCTTTTACTTTTGGAGTAGCTATTGGTCCTTACTTACAGGGTCCTTCCCTGCTGTGTGAAGAGGACAGGTTATCCAGGTCATCAGAAAGAGATCTCCGGTTCTCGGTCAGCGGAGCGTATCTGTTCTGGATTGGCACACTTGGTGGTTTAGGAGGATTGTTTGTAATTCTCCCTTTAGCAGCTGTCCACCGCTGTTTCCTAGTAGGAACAGGGGTTGAAGAGGCGCTCTTCCTGGGTGATAACAATGCAGGCCAGCCGGTCGCATCACAGATTTCAGAGCGCTGGGCTCTGCCTGTTATCCGTCCTCCCAAATCCCATGGAAATGATTTACTCTTAGGCTTTGCACCCAGAGAGTTCCAGGGAGGACTACCACTTGTAGATTTATTACCCGGTACACAGCCCTCCTGTTCCTCGGAATCCTTGTAGCTGCTAACTAGCTTTGAGTTAGCATACCCTTTTCCATTATTTTGCAACACTGGTAAAGTCGTGTCATTCCAACCTAGTCCATTCACTTCCACGTTAACTTCCAACCGTTGCATTTTCATTTCCAACACAGCTATCTTCTGTATAAGTTTGTGGAAGTCATCTGTAGAGAACGGAGGCATTTTGCTACCAACTAGCTTAAGCTAAATAGCATGCAGTAGCCTACCAGGCTTTAGCTGTTGCTAGGCCACGCTACTGTAAGACTGAGGTCGTCGTAAAAATGTTGAAATATGGCTGAAACCCTCCGTCTATTTACGAAGATGAACTGTCCCAGTGATAAGTTAATGTCCAGGAGCCGCTGCTTGAAGTTTTCAGAGAATAAGAATAGGAAAATCAGGCAAGAGCAAGCGGAAAAGCGTCTGCACTGTAAGAAAGATATAAGCAAGAAAAGACTCAGAGTAATCAGACTCCAGTAAAGGTTTCTGGAGCGTCTACATTTACAGCACCTCAAAAGATCCCAATTCTAGTTAGAAAGTCATGTTTCCGCCTACAAAGAACGGCAACACAGTGATACCTTTTTCCAGTATTTGCGTGACATCGAACTGCAAAGAAAGCTATTCATGTGAGGCATGACATGTGATTTTAAACATGTTGTTTCTCACTATTACAACACCTACCGATCACAGCACATATGCCCTATCGATTGTTGATCATTAACACTTCTGTAACACTGTATTAAGCTTTGCATAGCCTGCCTAAACGCAGGTGTCGTGCTGAATCAATGCAATATAATGAATGTTTTACCTTTATGAATGCAGTTATATATGACTGGTAATGCATTGAGGACAAATGTTTTGGTGCAGGTAGCAAAAAAAGAGCCATATTTGAAATTGATTTAAATTATTCAAGTTTAAAGAACCCAAGAGATATTTAACCCACCCTAAAGGGGCGGACAGCGTTATTAAGAAAGACTTCTGAGATCAATAGTTTTCTAAAAGCATGGATTTACTAGAATCAAAACAAAATAACCGATTATGTGGAGTCAGTCTGCACATCACTAGTCTCCAGGAACTAGACACCACCCTTTCTTCACATGAAATCAAGTGTTTGTAACGAGACAGTGTGCTTTCAGAGGAGCTGCACAATCTCTGCTAGTGACACCAGGAATCACAATAGTACTATGTTGTTATTTTTGAGAGATATTTAACCCACCCTAAAGGGGCGGAGAGCGCTTTGAGAAAAGACTTCTGAGAGAAATAATGTTCTAAAAGCGTCTATTTACTTCAATCAAAAACAAAGGAACCAAGTCAGTCTGCACATCACTACTCAGGAACTACACACCACCCTTGTTCATGAAATCAAGTGTTTATAACGAGACAGTGTGCTTTCTAAGGAAGCCTCACCATGATCAGAGTATTACGACACTGTTATTGCTGCAACTAGAATAAATCCACCCTGATAGCTCGGTATTACCATGCAGTTCTAACTGATGCAGGACTCACATGCATGATGTAAGCAGCCTTACATCACCTGACAGCTGCTCAGAGTACAACAACATATGCTGAAGCAGACGTGCATGAATCACAGCAGCACACAGCGACTCTAATTGGCTCAGACACATTACAAACAAGCATTTACAGAAAGACTTCCACATGCAACCCGTAATAATCCACGACCCCCCTCCCGTCTGAACGTTATGTAACACGAAGTTAGCTGTTACTTAACAGGCTGAGATACAGCGGTGCGTGTGTGTGTGTGTGTGTGTGTGTGTGTGTGTGTGTGTGTGTGTGTGTGTGTGTGTGTGTGTGTGTGTGTGTGTGTGTGTGTGTGTGTGTGTGTGTGTGTGTGTGTGTGTGTGTGTGTGTGTGTGTGTGTGTGTGTGTGTGTGTGTGCCCTGCAGAG